GCTCCAGTTATATGTATGATCCCAGCTGGGGGGGGGGGTTAAAAACAACAGGGGGTGGGGGGGGAGGCAGAGCGCTTTGAGTCTTTAAACCCCACAAGCTATCAGTCACACGACACGCAGCGTATCCGCCTGTCCGCTGGACGAAGTCAGCGGCCACTGTGGTGAAGGCCCGCAGCCGTCCGGAAAATGTCATGCTTTGGGAGCAGCTGACGGCTCTGGATTTGTCTTGCCGCCGCTCAGGGATAGGCCGTCGGTGGGGAGAGGCGTGAGGGTTGGCCTTGCTGGCGGTCAGGGACGGGCCTTTGGTGGGGGGAGGCGTGAGGGCTGGCCTTGCCGGCGGTCAGGGACCGGCCGTCGGCGGGGAGCGGCGTGAGGGCCGGCCTTGCCGGCGGTCAGGGATGGGCTGTCGGTGGGGAGAGGCGTGAGGGCAGGCCTTGCTGGCGGTCAGGGAAGGGTCATTGGTGGGGAGAGGCGTGAGGGCAGGCCTTGCCGGCGGTCAGGGATGGGCTGTCGGTGGGGAGAGGCGTGAGAGCCGGCCTTGCCGGCGGTCAGGGATGGGCTGTCGGTGGGGAGAGGCGTTAGGGCCGGCCTTGCTGGCGGTTAGGGACGGGCTGTCGGTGGGGAGAGGCGTTAGGGCCGGCCTTGCTGGCGGTCAGGGAAGGGTCATTGGTGGGGAGAGGCGTGAGGGCAGGCCTTGCCGTCAGTCAGGGATGCCATCAGTTTATTTATTACACTCCTGCCAAGGCTGCATAATAAGTACACAGAATCTTTAAGTTCGTTGTTGGTTTAACCAAACTTGTCGCCCATCCAAAAGAACAGGCTTTGGCGTACTTTGTGTCCCCCCCCAGGGATAAAATTGCTTCATGACCCCCCATCTCCCCTCCTCTCGGTGAGCGTTTGTAACCAGGATCTGACATCAGTTCCCCGGTAAATGGCCTCCTAACCAGGTTAGGATGGCATCCAAGACAACAGCACTTGCCCCCCCCCCCCAAAACAGACTCAGAAAAGCCAGTGACCAGCTCTAAGCTGCAGGGACAATATTTCTAAGATGACGACCACCTCCTTGTGGCACTGGGGTCAGGGGCAGATTACTTGCATAGCGTCATATAAAAAGGCCGTTTAAGCGAAGGCTTACATGCACTAACAGATGACTAATTAACCCCGATTTGCACTGTAGTTACTAATTACACAAGAAAATATATAAATGAGCAGGAAGAGAGGAAGGAGGCTGCAGAAGGCACGCGGTTAGGGAAAGGGAGGCGATAGCAGAACCCATCAGCGCTGGGCTGCATTACCACCCCTGTCCAGAGGGAACCCCCCCCCCCCTCAGGTTCCTGTGTAAAAAAAAAAAAAAAAAAAAAACACCAGCACTTAGCCGAATTACCACGGGGAATCAGAGAAGGCCGGGGTGGTGCCGGCGGGGGGGTCAGTAACGGCAGGGGCGTGTCAAAGGCCCTCCCCAGCCTGCTATAAAATGTTCACTAAGTGTGGCAGGGGGCAGAGTCCTGGAGGTACGGGGGTGGGGGGGTTAGATTCTAGGAACGGGCTGATAAGGGGATTTGGCTTCAGAGGCATCTTGATGCTAATTTGCTGTGACAGGCGGGCTGAGAGCGGTCGGCATGGCGACACGTTCCTCACCGCTAATGTTATTAGCATTATTAATACCCGCTTAGTGGGCGCCCATTCATCCCTCCCAAGGCAGCAGACTTTTCATACACAAGTAAGTTTACTTTTTGGCTGTTTCCCTGTCCGCTGCATGCATTACGATTCTTAGTCAGACAATGGATGCTTGCCCCCCCCCCCTAAAAAAAAAGACAAGAAAAACTAAAAACACGACAAGATGTCTTCTTCAAAGTACTTGTGGAACTAATTCTCTCGTATTCCGAGCAAGATTCCCGATGGGGGGGGGGGGGCAGAACCAGACACCTTCAGAAGGGACGCGATCCCACGGTGGTGGGGGATAATTAATTTAAGTCCAGGTGGTCTGGGCTCGGTGCCGAAAGCGAGCGGATGATGAGAATGAATGTGACTCACCAGAAACTGCTCATCATCGCGTTGCGTCGATACTGTGGCCCACAAAGCATTCTGGGTATGGGGATTCAGGGCTGCCAGCGGGAGGGGTGGGGGGGAGGAGTCACAGTGATAATGACACTGAGTGATGGTGGCCCCCTCCACTTCAGGACTTTCTGGTGGGGGGGATCTTGCACAGATTAACCATCTGGGGTGTGACTATTTTTTATAATTTCTTTTTTCAGGAGGGGGCTATGGGGTGTGGAACTCACACAGTAGGTGGGTGACAGGACAAATGTAGAAAAAGGATGTGTTTTTGCCACCACTTTCAGAGTGTGTGTGTGGGGGGGGGGCAGGGTATTAAGAGAACCGCCACTTTCAGAGTGTGTGTGTGTGTGTGTGTGTGAGGCAGGCAGTGTATTAAGAGAACCGCCACTATTCTGCAGGTGCCAAGGTGTCTCTTTTCATGAGGGAGCAGCACCCCCCCCCCCAACTTCATGATGATTAACGCCCCCCCACCTGTGCTGTGCTCAGACAGGGGATGATCTCAGGGGTGGGGGTGTAATCTGACCATCAGCGTGTCACTGGGCAGACGTGGCCTTTGCCAGCGACGGGGACCTGCCAGTCGCTCTACCCCCAGGCCCTTGAGCACGCTGTGTAAGACACTGAGGCTCTCGCACCCCCATGAAGAGAGGATTTACACTGCCAAAAAAAAAAAAGACAAAAAAAAAAATCCAACAGAACCTACACCTCAGCACCTCCCTGGGTGTGACACCGTGGCTGGCAGCTGGGGGGCGCCATCCCCAGGTTTCTTTGATTAACGTGCATCCTGGCAGCAACAGTGAACGTGCCACCCCTCCCTTCTGTGCAGCTCTTTGTTTCTGCTGAAGAATCCCTCAAGACTCGCTCCGCCCCCACCCCATCTCCCACTCCCCAGTCTGATCCGAACGAGGCCTGACCCGTCTCCTCGAATCACAGGTCTCCTTGGTGCCTGCCCCCCCGGCTCCTCTCGCTGATCCCCGCTCAATCCCCCCCTCCTCCCTGGAGTTTTCCGGATGCCTGTCTGTCTCGGTATCTGCGCCACTGCCTCGCGAGCCCCCCCCTGATGGCTCACCGCAAACACGCAGCCGGCATTAGCGAGGACTGCGTGTGGCTCAGATCGCGTTTCCGCGCTGGTCCACCGCCACCCCACCTGTACGAGCCAGAATGCGGCCTCCTGTCCACCATGCTGCGGCACAAAGCGCCCGTTGCTCCAAGCCCCCCCCCCCCCCCCATATCCCCTACCCGACACCAGCCACTTGCTGACGCTCCTTCCCGCGCGTCTCCGTGGGTCATGAATGTTTGCATGAGCCCACCCCCGTCTCCGCCCCCTAAGTAATCTGGCGTAACCCTAGCCGTCCCCCCTTTGCCAGGGCGGGGTGGGGGCAGGTCGCTGCACCTTGCGCCCCCCCAGCTACCTGTAACCTGAACGCCAGCTGACGGATATGATTAAAAACATCCTGTTCCCAGGACGGCCTGTGGATAGGAGGTGGGTGGCGAGTCCAAAGGGCAACCAGGAGTCAACCTCTGGTGTGGGGTCAAGGACACCCCCACCCACCCCGCCAGACGTAACCGGTATCGGGGTCCGTTCCTCCAGCGCACACCTGGATCTGACGACACCTCTTCGGTACCAATGTCTCGCCACTCGGACCCTTTTTCGGTCCCGCTACCCACAGCTCACGCAAGACGTGGCGGACAGTGGGCACGGTGACATGTGGTGATGTACGAGGCCGGCAAGCTGGGAGGCGGAGGGCCCTGGGCTTCATTTGCCAGGTCCATTAAAATGGAAAGGCCACGCCTGCTGGGCCGATCAATCAGCCTCTTAATTAAGGCGTCAGGCGGGCGACCCGACAGGGCCGCCATATAGGCGCAGCTCGTCCGGGGTCCAATTTGCAGCCCGTCCCGTCACAGCAAAAGGAAAAACACCCCAAGAAATACTCCCAGATGCGCCCCCCCCCAGCACGCACTGGCACCTTGCGAGACAGATGGCCCCGCCACGGTACTCACCTGTTTATGGGGTCCCCTGAGGATATGAGCCCTGGCCCCTTCACAGGCCGTCCTCATGGCCTCCAGCGATGGCGTCCCCAGCAGTTCTGTGATCAGATCCAGCTGGAATGTTCGGGGGTGGGGGGTTAGAATGCTGACCCCCTTCCCGCTGGACGTGCGCGAAAAAGCCCCACACGGCCCCCCGATCGGTCGGGCGGAAGACGGGAAGGGGGTCTGCCGGCGACATTGACACCACGGACCTTTCACCGTGCTCATCAAACATTAATACGGCAAAGAACGGGGTGTCCATTTCAGAGCCAGTGGAGAGAGAGTGCATGGGCACCCGGTGTCCGAGAGAGAGAGAGAAAGGAGGGAGGGAGGGAGGGAGACGGAGGGAGGAAAACAAAAAAAAAAAAAAACAGGCAGGTCGTTTAGAAGGCAAAGTAAAAAACAAACTGAAGGACCAAGGGCCTGCTATCAGAGGGACAGTCAAGATTCAGCCAAACAAAAAGAAAAAAAGAGAAAAACAACAAAAAAGGAGAGAACTGCTGCTGGTGCAGATCTTGGCGTGGCGTGGGGGGGGGGGGGGGGGGGGGGTTGGTCTCACATGCATTGCAGATGGATATTTATAGAACAAAGTGCTCCTCCCCTGAGGAGACCTTTAAAAAAATTAAAACACATAATAATAAATATAGCGAGTGTGGGCAGGCAGCGATCCCCAGGCGCGGCATGACACGTGCCCGTCCACCGGGTCCCATGGGGGCCCGCAGCCGCGGCTTGTGATGAATGAGGGCCACGCGGGGTATGGGAAGGGCCACTGATTTCTACATGTTATTCCGAGAGAGGCGGGTCCACGCCTTCCAACACCTCCACCCAGCAGATTTTTCACCTAAATCGTCCGCCATTTACCACCCGCTGAGGCTTTATGTAACCTCCCGGAGGTCCCGTCCATACAGCCCAGAAGCGCTCCCCCCAGAACTGCCACTGAGTAAATGGCAGTTAAAGGCAAGATAGCGGTTAGTGCTAGCATGGTAGTTAGCGTGACGCTAATACTACGGTGCTACGGCGCCAGTTAGAGCGGCGTTTAGCGCCTAATTAGCGACTAGCATTTTAGGGGAGGTGCTAAGCACGCACCTGCTGGATGGGACTCTGGGCCTGAAAGAGGATCCGCCGGCCCAGGAGTTCGGCGAAAATGCAGCCCACGGACCAGATGTCGATGGCATTGGAGTAATGCCGGCTGCCCATGAGGATCTCCGGGGCCCGGTAGTACTGGGTGACCACCTCCTGAGTCATGTGCCGTGACTCGTCCAGCTCCTCCACCCGGGCCAAACCAAAATCGCAGATCTGAAATGCAATTATCAAATTAGCAATTATTTGCAAGAATAAACCGTTCGATAAAGCAAAAGTACTTATTGAGACAAACAACTTGATTCTGATCTAATTGATGAGATGCAATCTGTTTTAACAAAATTTGTATTAAAATGATAAAGTACGTGATACGTATAAATTCACACACACAAATGAACATATATTATATATAGAATTTAATTCATAACTTTAAAACAATTAAATAAATGAAAGATATAAGCAGTCAATTAAATAAGCAAAAACCACAGTTCAGACTCTCCCAGGTTCTGCAGCTTATCTAGAGCACACATCCTATTTTATCATGACCTTTTCCACCCCAGAGTGATGAGCCAGCCTACAAACTCCACACTGCATCTATGTTTGTACAAACGTCCAGCACAAGTCAGCACAAGTACAAAGTCCAAAATCTGGCTGGTCATTAGAGGCAGAGTCCACCGCGAAACCTTTACTAACTGCTGGGGTAATTCTGGGTTTAAAAAAAAAAAAAGCATTGGTCCGAGGACAGCTCCTTGCGGTGACCCTAGGAGAGCATCACTGCACGTCAAAATCTGAAACCATGTTTTGGTACTTCATGTAACCCTGCTACTGGTGAGGAAGTTGTACGACTAGTGCTTCAAGCCTACAAGCTTCAAGAAGCCATACAACTTCAGCTATTTATTGCCGTACGAAACCTATGACAATCGTTTCAGTGTTTAGTGGGCTAAATTATGTTGGTCATTCATTTCAGCTATTTATAATCCATGCCTTATTATCGGGACACAGTCTGCAATGAGTCCTTCTGCAACATCTGTGAGAAATGAGATTAAGGATACCAGTCCCTGATGACTGAGACTGAATCATGTTGTTTTTAAGAGAATAAACAAATCAGCGGGAATTTGGCCTTGCTGGAGTGACGCACTCATCAGACCGGTCGTTAGTGCATTGAGCTGGCGTCAAAAACTCCATGACGGCTCCCTCTGTTGATGCTATCGGGAAGGTTGGAGTCTCCTGACTATGTTCTTCCACCTGTTGAACTGATATCTCCCAAGGCTCCTGGGTGGGGGCAGGGGGAGGTAGCTGTGACAGATCTTGTCAAGGTAACCCTTGCAAAGCGGGATGGGGTGGTCAATGACGTTACTGGTAACTGCTACAGATTTACTAGTTTTGGCGTCACCCTTCAGGGTCCATTTTCCGTGACCCAGCAGTGACGTTGCTGTAGCTCCTCCATTTCATGTCGCCGCTAAGCACAGGGCCGCTGCCGACCGTTGTCACACATCAGCGCCTGACAGAGCCGGCCGCCCGAGTCCGACCTCTGGAGTAATCGATAGATCGTAGTGGATGTGTAACGTTAGTCTTCCAGGGGACTCGGGGTCTAGGCTGCTGTCAGGAATATGGTGCAATGCATCAAGCCTCGCCTGCACCGCCTTTACATGCCCCGAGCCGATTCGCCGACCAAAAGCCCGCTATTATCAGCCAGGCCAACCACTGACCATCAAGCCAAAATTTTTATTATTATTATACACAGGGGCGTTGCTAGAGATTTTGGGCCCCATGAAAGCATATCATATTAGGCCCCCCAGTCCAAACCAATCCAGTTATTTTCCTAATTTTTTAGGGCCCCTGTCACTCAGGGGCCCTTGGAATCATCCTAGCTTTCCTCCCCCTTACGGCGCCCCTGATTATACAGACTCTCCCTGGGTTATGATAGGGTTACGTTCCCATAATCCTATCGTATGGTGAAAACATTGCAAAGCAAAAATGCATTTTAATACAGTACACCTAACCTAACAAACGTCACAGCCTAGCCTACCTTAAACATGCTAACAACACTCGCATTAGTGTGCAGTGAACATATGATTTTGGGGAATTCCTGTACTGTTTATGAGGGGGACTCAAGCTCACATACGTCTGGTTGAAACTGACATCAGTAATTTGAAAATAAACAAACAAACAGACAAACCAAATTCCTTGGATATCTGCTCATTTGATCCATGTGGGAGGGTCCAGTCCTCGCCGACAGGGCGGGACGCAAAGGCATTAAGGTGTACGTGGTGCATGACTAATGACACCCTGAGATAGAGCGCCACCCGGTGCGGCACGATGGTGGTGCATCATGTGGTCTCCCCACAGGGACGTGTGCTTCCACGGGGGTCGATCTTTACATACTCATCTGCACTAATCGGGCTTTTCCTCCCCATGATACGTCATGCGTAAAAAAGAGGCAGCAGGAAAGAGAGGTGGCACTTTCACAGTCTCTCTTTCAGGTCTCCCCCCCCACATAGAAAACAATTGGAGATGCTGTGTTATGGAAGCGAATGCTAGTGCAGGGAGAGCCCATCATCAAAACGGGGGCCGCCCCGCTGGCTCACGCCCAGACAGGCAGGCATCTGATCACCCACACAAGCAGAGAGCCTGGCTCTCATGTGTGGCTGAAAACAAGACAGCGAGGTGGTGAAACGCCAACCGCTTAGGAACAGACCCCAGGCAGGAGTGAGGCTACTCCAGGGAAGGGAGTTAAACCACGACGTTAGCCGGCGATAAACGATCCCCTGTGGAGCATGCCTGTACTGCCCCCTCCTTCCTGTAAACCCCCCCTGGCAGTGGCATCAGAACCCAGTGGGCCATAGGGGGACTGACCTTCCCTCGACCCCTACCCCCCACCACACACACACACACACACACACACACACAAAGAGTGGACATCAATGCCAAGTCAGTAGGCATCAGACAACCTAAGGTGGACAAGCAGAGCCTTCATGGAACAACTTCCACCCAAATGACTGCTTGATGGCATATCCTCCCATCCATCCATCCATCCATCCAGATAAAGGTCTCTCCCAGGCTGCACAAGGGAGAAGGCAGGGCTACACCCTGGATGTGGTGCTTGTTCATCCCAGAGCACGCACTAAGATGCACGCATTCAGAGGGCAATTTAAAGCCACCCGCTCTGTGTAAAAATAAATCAAGTCCTGCGGAGGTGGAGTAATTGTCACACACACGCGGCGCATGAGTCATGGCCCTGTTAGCGAGGACCTACTCCAAAGCAGTAGGGCTGGCTAATTAGAAGGCGCTAACGAGCGGCGCCCAGGTACGACACCCGCCACAGGGCTCGCCGGGACACTCACCTTAAGCACGCAGTTGCTGTTCACCAGGAGGTTGCCAGGTTTAATGTCTCTGTGCAGGATGCCAGCTGAGTGCAGGTATTTTAGCCCTGGAAAGAAAAATAGGGCCATTAGGCAACGCTTCGTGCCATTTGGGGGGCGGGGGGACGGGATGGGAGGGGTGCCAAAAAGCACTTCACACACCTGAGGGTTCTCATGTTTCCCTGCCACAACGGAGGCTGAGAGCCATTTTGCACATTAAAAAAAATACAATATTTTATATACATATATATATATATATATATATATATACACACACACACACACACACACATATATATATACATATACATATACATATATATACATACACATATATATATACACACATATACATATATATACATATACATATATATACACATATATATATATATACACACATATACATATACATATATATACATATACATACATATACACATATATATATATATACACACATATACATATACATATATATACATATACATACATATACACATATATATATATAT